TATTTTTGTATGTGTGATCAGGTAGAACATTTTGGTAGAAACATGTGGTACAGAAAAGCTTTTCATCTCCCCTCATGGCACTGAGGAAGCAGAGAGAAATAATAAGACCACCCTTCCAAAAACCAATGAAGCTATGGATTCATAAATAGATAAATCCATTGGTGACATTAGAGATGTAATTAATGACCCAACACTCTCCAAAGACTGCAATTCAGGAACGCTGATGCACTACTAAAGGACTAAGACTTCAACACATGAGCGTTGGGGGGAAATTCTAGATCGATACTATCATAGCAATTACCAAGGATCCCTTAAAATTTCACATGAATTTAACATAGATTTTTTAAATATGTTGATACATTCCACTGTGATTTAATTTATTTTTGTGTGTACTGATACTGAAGCTTGAACTCACATTCACACTAGTGATCTAGCAACTGAGCCACATCTCTACTTCTGTTTTTTTGCTGATAATCTGAGATAAGAGTACTTAGATTGTAATTGGCTAGGACTACAGCTGTGAACCATCAGTAATGGGTTTGATTTAAAAAGGGATTTTATTTATTTTATTTATATTATCTTATTTATACTTATCTATATATCTATTTATATCTATCTATGCATCATTTATCATCTAGAGATAACTGTAGTTTCTGCTTTAAATCATTTAGATTTATAAATAGTTGAAGAAAGTTTAATTAGATATTATATTAGGGAAATTCATTTCCATATCAAAATCATAAGGAGCATTGAGTTTAGATATTTTACAAGAAAACTTTAAAGCAATCCTATTTTCCAATCAGTTAATTTTGCAAAAACCAAATGTAAATAAAAACCAGTGTGAGAAAGATTCACTATTGAATTTTATTTGACTTTAAAGAACTAATACTAATACTCCTCAAACTATTACATAAAATAAAAAGATCTTTAAAAATTCTTTCAATAAATTAGTACTATTTTGCTACCAAAACCAAAACACACACACACACATACAAACACACACATACGTGATATCCTTGATGAATAAAGGTGCAAACATCTTTGCAACAATATCTATGCAAAAATCAATACCATACCTGTAAATGGAGCTTAAAAGTACTTTAAAAGATCATGCATGCCAGGTGCAGGTGGCTCATGCTTATAATCCTCGCTACTCAGGAGGTTGAGATCTGAGGATCATGGTTCAAAGCCAGCCCAGGCAGGAAAGTCCATGAGCCTCTTATTTCCAAATAACCACCAGAAAACCGGCAGTGGCACTGTGGCTCAAGTGGTAGAACACTAGCCTTGAGCTGAAATGCTGAAGGACAGTGCTCAGGCCCAGAGTTCAAGCCCCATTACTAACAACAACAACAACAACAAATCATGCACTGTAATAGTTGGTTTCATTCTAGTAATGCAAGAACTGTTCAACATAATAAATCAAAAACAGAATACAACATACAAATAAATCAAAGATAAAATCATATGAATTCTCTGAGCTATTAGTCAATTTTTGTGCATAATTAAGCATCATTTCATGACAGAATCTCTACAGACTTAGGAACAGAAAGATTGTACCTTAGCATAGTAACTAACTCTAAGCTAACATCATATCAAATGGCAAAAAAAAAAAATTATTTCTAAATCAGGAATGAAGCTCTCAGAATTATTCATCAATATAGAGCTTGGAATTTTAGTCAAAGTAATAAGGCAACTGAAAACAATGAAAGTGATATGAATAGGGAGAGATAAGTCCAATTAATCTTATCTGTAGATAATATTGTCCTGTACTTAGAAAACACAAAAGAAGGCAGAATTAATTAAGATCTGATATCAAATTCAACTAAGTAGTAAGTGTGCAATGTACATTTGAAGATTGTCTTTCTGAACATCAATAATGAAGTCATTGGCAAGGAACAAATTTCATTTTTGTAGCCTGGAGGGAACAAACAACAAAATTTAATCAGGAAGTGAAAAACTACAATATAGGGAAACGAGAGGTGTTTTCTTTGTTTATTCTGTTTTTTTTTTGTTTGTTTGTTTTTTGTTGGTCTTGGGAGCTGAAAACTGCACCTAGGCACTTTCCCTCAGCTCTTCAGCTCAAGGCTAGCTCTCTACCACTTAAGCCATAGAACCACTTCTGGCTTTTTTCTGCTTATGTGGTGCTAAGGAATCGAACCCAAGGCAAGCACTCTACCACTGAGCCAACTTCCCAGCCCTGTTGATGTTGTTTGTGATGTACTTATAATATACTATGTGATTTTTTGTTTCTTTTGTATCTTCTTCCCCCATGGTATAACCCCTCCTTTCTCTGTATTTGATTCCAGTGCCTTACATCTTGTATATACACTTTTATAATTTGGGGAAGGGAAATAACAGAATGCTGAAATAAGGATACAGACTGACCCATTGTAACAATGAGATGTACAAGACACTAAGTTGAAAACAAACTTTACAACTTTGGCTGGGGCATAGTAGGGGGGAGGTGGGGAGGGAGGTGAGGAGGGAGGGGATGTAGGGAGGAAAGGAATGGAAGGGGGAAAACAAAGGAGGGGGTAACAATGCTCATTAGGAAATGTACTCATTACCTTACTCATGTAACTGTAACCTCTCTGTACAACATCTTTACAATGAAAATATATATGAAAAACATTATAAATACTGAAAAATAATACTGAGGAAGATAAGATATTAGGAGATGGTAGAACCTTTTGTGCTCATGTTTTATTGTTAGTATGGTCATACAACTAGAAATCTACAAATTCAATGAAATCTCCATCAAATGAATGCAAAATAAAAAACCCTAAACTTTATATAGAGGTGCAAAGAACTCTTACATACACATGATTGGTGGGAATGTAAAGGCATACAGACATTTTGCAGATCAGAATAGAGGCTCCTCAAAATACACACATACATACATTCATGCATACATAGAAATATATCTGCCATGTACTATACCACTGCTAGGTACTCACTGTAAGGATTAAAGATAACATATATGAGTGATATTTACACATTCCTATTTATGGTAACCCTATTTACAATAGCCAAGATACAGTCTACGTGTTCCTCAGTAAACAGAAGGCTAAACACAATGTGGTGCTTTAATGCAGTAGACGATGGACGCATGTTGTAGAGCAATGGATTAAAGTGGAATTTATCACTTTTAGGAAAATAAATCATACAAAAAATAAAGAAAGGCATTACATGTCTTCTCTCATATGTAGAAATTTAAAATAAAGGAAATTGAATGGACCATAGGAGATAGACTATTATGGATGGGAATTGGAACATGGAGAGTGGATAGGAGGGCAATGAAAAAGGGGTGGATACAATGGAAGCAAGGATACCAGATGTGAGCGTGGAATTGTCACTGTGCAGATCATCAAATGCACAATTAATATGATTACATAATTGTAAGGAAAAAGAAACCGAAATTAAAAATCCAAAAGTATGATGTCATTAACACAATACTTTTTTTAAAAAGTTGAACTTCAAAGTTGAGATGCTTCTCTCCCAAAATTAATGGAGGTAGACATCATTGTAAGTAGGAAATTATAAATTACATTAACGAACTGTTTACCATTAGCAGTAAGTGGAAAAATAATTAACTTGTTTTTTGAGTGTTTTCCAATGAAGTTATTTCCCTTGAGAATTCAAGTAAAACTTTGTCTCTGTTAATTGATTTTATACAGGCCATAAAATTTCTACTCTGGTTTTATAATGCACAGAAAAATTTTATTTACTCTGATTTTAATCCAATGACAGTAAATATAAAATTAGGATGGGTAAGGAAATATATAAAGAGAATATGGATAAGTTTCTTGCTACAACTAACAATACAAGATCAGGAAAACAAGACTTTCATTTTAGTAGCCACAGTTCTTCACAATCTATCTTCCACCTAGCTGAGAAGCTCACTGTTGAAGAAATGATAATTACTAAATAGCATTAAATGTGATGGTTGATGAATAGCTGTGGTTCTCCTGACATCTTTACAGGTAAAGATTAGAATTTTTGATCCTTTTCAGGAAAATGTGTTTGTTCATACATAGACAGTACTGACTATTGGTGAACACGTCTGCTAACCTCAAAAGGCTGAAAAAGTCAACTGTTTTTCATATAGCCACTCACTCCCTCAACACAGAATCCAAGTCTTGTGGCTCTTCTTGAGTTCTCTCTCACTCTTTTCTCTATTACATCTGTGTCTGTCTGTCTGTCTGTCTGTCTGTGTCTGTCTGTCTTTGTCTGTCTCTGTCTCTCTCTAATTTCTTGCTGTCTGGCTTTCTATGCTTCTGTCTCTTTTCCTTTCATGACATAGTTGCTGTGTGTCCTATGGTCTATTCAGTACATAGCTTTGGTTGTACACAAAGGAAGAAAAAAATTTCATGGCAAGAAGTTACAAAACATATTGTTGTAAATGCATGTATATTTGTGAAGTATAATTCCATAAGGGCAATTTCACACTATAGTTAAAGTGGTAAAATCTTGATTTTTAAATAATTACATTATATTCTCAATGATTATGACTAGAAATCAAAGTACAGTGGTTTAGATGATTAGATTATTAATTTGCTTAATGCTAAGGTGGCCAACATGGTTGAAATATTAAAATAGCAGTGCTATTCCACTTATTTGAGATGACTATTTTCCTTAGGGGTCAGCGATGTAAAAGACAAAAGACCTCTTTTTGTTAGTAAAAGAAATAGACAAAATCACTTCTAATTTTAACATATTTGGAAGAAAATGTAAATGTTTAGAAACTTCATAATTTCAGCTTAGGCTGTTGGACAAGTCATCTTAGTTTATTGACTTTTATTTTACTTTTAAGAGATAAAGTAATTTGTTGGACAAAGAGGATTTCTCTAGTGTTTATGATACAATATAAAAAAGTGAGTAAAAATCTCAACTTGAAACCACACATCTGTGTAATTTCCTAGAACAGGTCATGTTTTGAAGAATGTGATGCAGAGTTGCCACATCTAAGAATATTTCACAAAAAATATTCTTGCCAATAGGCATATTTCAGTGGCTCAAATGAAGCATAAGAATTCCAGCACCATCACTGAGCTAATCCTGGTGGGATTTTCCAACTATCCCCAGTCTGAGATTCCCCTCTTCTTCTACTTGGCCAATTGCTTAGGAAATACAGCTGTCTTCGCACTGGTGCTTCTAAATTCCTCTCTTCAGACCCCCATGTATTTCTTCCTCTGCCATCTGGCTTTCCTCAATGTCTCTTTTAGCACGGTGGTAGTACCGAAGATGCTCTTCAATTTTCTTGCAAGCAGGAAAGTGGTATCTTACACATTCTGCCTTGTTCAGACCTATCTCACCTTATTCCTGGAATCAGCTGAATGCTTTCTCCTGGCAGTGATGGCCGTGGATCGCTATGTGGCCATCTGCTATCCACTCAGATACCTGATTCTCATGAACTGGTTTGTGTGTGTGTCACTGGCTTCCGGGGCCTGGATCATAGGGTTTTTTTCTTCCGTGGTTCCTCTCTACTTCGCCATCCTCCCGTTGTGTGGACCTTACACTGTTGACTATATTTTCTGTGAGTTACCCATACTTCTGCATATGTTCTGTGGAGACACGTCCCTGCTGGAAGCCATGATGGCCATAGGAGGGGCTGGCACAGTGCTGGTGCCGTTCACCTTCATTATTCTCTCCTATGTTCGACTCTTGGTGGCCGTGATGAGAACAGACTCAGGGGAGGGTAGGAAAAAAGCCTTTTCAACGTGTGCGTCCCACCTCTCGGTGGTGACAATCTATTACGGAACTGGCTTGATTCGGTACCTGAGGCCCAAGTCACTCTACTCAGCAGAAAGGGACAAACTGATCTGTGTGTTCTATGCAGTTATCAACCCTATGCTGAATCCTTTCATTTACAGCCTGAGGAATAAGGAAGTGAAGGGAGCCATCGCAAGAATCCTAGAGAGAAGCGATCGAATCACATGCTGCAAGCGCTAGATGTTGACTAGTTTGCATTTCTAACAGTTCACACTTCAATTCCGTAAGCTACGCTTTATCAGTAGGAATTGCAGAGGAAGAGGATCAGCGTGCATTTATTATGGACAGTAATTTATGATGTGTAAACTTATCACTCTCAGCTCAATCAAATACTGTCAGTCTAACCATCTACATCTATAGTCACCACGTCATTATTTGCAGTCCCTGTTTCATGTTTTGTTTTCTTTTTATCAAGAAGGCCTCAATTTATTTATTTATTTATTTATTTGTTTGTTTGTTTGCTTGTTTGTTTAGGCAGTCCAGGGGCTTGAATTCAGGGCCTGGGCACTGTCCCTGAGCTTCTTTCGCTCAAGGCTAGCACTCTAGCCTCAGCACCACGTTTGGCTTTTTCCGTTTATGTGGTACTGAGGAATGGAAGACCTCAAATTTTGAGTTGTGAATTCCTAACCTCTGATCAATGCATCTTACTAGGAATGTCAAGATGAAGGTGAGTCTCAGCTCTTCCTCAAAATAAAGGAAGAGCAAGGAAAGCTTTGAAATGAACCTTATCCAATTTTATAAGATGCAAGTACAGTTAAAGTTACTCATGAGAATTTTCAAAGGAGTATAGACTTCTGTTTTGAATTTTCAAATTTTTATTTGCCTGCTTGTTTTGTATAATTTTAGGAACAGTATGTGCTTCCCTTAAATATAAAACTAAAATATATTCTTCTCAATTGCTTTAATTTAAATTTAAATTACCCAATGAGACAAAGGTCAAAGGGCGAACCAATACAACAGTAATATTCATAAGCTAATATGTTGGAAATGAGCTATACAATTGGGGGGTAGCAGTGGGGGAGAGAAACCGGGAGAAAAATAATGGAGGAGAATAACAAGTTTGATTAAAAAATGTACTTATTTCTTTATATATGTAACAGTAACATCTCTGTACATCACCTTGAAAATAAAATAAAATTTAAAAAATTCCCATTCATCAGGAAGACAGTTCATTTAAATAACTAATAGCAATAATTTTATTAATTTACTTGTATATATTTAAACAGTTACTTTATAGATGGTTAGACAATTTGACTACAATATATTAACAAATTTAATATTTCAAAAGGCTGTATACTAATTATTTTAATATTGCTGAATTTGGAGACTGCAGATTTAATTACAGGTTCAATTATTCTCTTTACATAAGTTTCCTCTTGAAAAGTCAGGAAATGTGTGTGTTTGTGTGTATTTGTGTGTGTGTGTGTGTGTGTGTGATTTTAAAGGTAAACACATATAGTCCTATGCCATAATAACACAATATTGGAACAATAGATGTTGTAGGTACTCTCATATTTGCCAGTGAGTGAGAACAATTCCTCCCTGAAATGTGCAATTGCGCTTAAAAGTAATATGTTGCCAATCCACTCAATATACAACATTTTCTCTTTCGTAATCACTGTTAGAGTTGATGTTCCTATAGAAGTGGATATTTTCTTTAATATATTTTATGTAACAATATTTAACTTCATATTTTAAGGCCAGAGAAACTGGATATCCTAGGTGAATGTGTCTTGCAAATGAGTAACAACTCTTCCCTGGAGGGAGCCATTTGGTTTTTCTTGTGAAGACACAGATGCCAAGAATCTCCCTTTTTTTTTTTTTCTGTAACAGAGTATGGTGTGTGTGTGTGTGTGTGTGTGTGTGTGTGTGTATGTGCCAGTCTTGGGATTTGAACTCAGAAACTGGGTACTGACTCTGAGCTTTTTTGTTCAAGGCTAGCATTTTACCACTTAAGCCACAGCTCCACTTTGCACTTTTTAGAGGTTAAGTAGAACTAAGAGTCTCACACACTTTTCTGCCAGGGCTAACTTTGAACTACAATCTTCAGACATAGCCTTCTGAATAGCTAGAATTACAAGTATGAGCCACTGTGCCCAGCTTTTGTTATACTTTGTATAATGTCAATAAAAGTAGAAGAGAAGAAAATATTAATTTGGAATAAGAATGAGGTGACTGAATTATAACCCGTGTCTCCTGTGTAACATTAAATAAAAATGTGTGAATAGTTTTGTGCATTTTAAATTATGTTTCACTCTTCAATGATTACCTGTGAGTGGCTTTTTTGACAGCTACATTATGATAGAGGTGGTCCAAACATCACTATCTCACTAATATGATTATGTAAGTAGTAAGGCATCATTTATTATTCTCATAAACATAACTCCAGCCATAAATAATCCTGAGAAAATGTTTCCAAAGAGATAGCCCTATAAATAGAATCAGACATGAATGAAATCATGACTTTGTAAGCACAGTAGGCTTCATCTTATTATTGACGTTACTGACTAGCTTATTTTTAATTCATTGTAAACATATTTTATAGTTCTAATTAATATCACTTTCATGATTTCAGTCATCAAGAATGATCAATGAGGCTGTGGTGGGGGTTAAGTAAATCTAGAGTTGGTATACATGCCATGTAAATGTTGTGTTCACTTTTTAAAAATAACAATGTACTAGGCTTACACTTGGAATCCTAGCCAGTCAGAAACTTGAGATCTAAAACATTGACTCTTAAAGTCAGCTGGATCAGGAAAGTCTCCACCTCCAAAATAACCTGCAAAAAGCAAGATTGGAGTCCCCAGAGGTAGAGTGCCAACCAGGAAAGCAAACATAGCAAGTTCAAAGCCCTGAGTTCTCAATACCAGTTAAAAAATTGAGTTTGGTAAGATGGTATTTAGATAGCACTGCATAAATTGTAAACTAGCATATTTTACATAATATAAAAGAATACTAAGCAAGATTTAAAAATTATGTCTTTTACAGGTTGACTCATTGTAACAATGAGATGTACAAACACTATGTTGAAAATGAACTTTACAACTTGGGGTGGGAGAGGGAGGAGTTGGGGAGGTAGGGAGGGAAGGGATCGTAGGGGGAAAACAAAGGAGGAAGTAACAATGCTGAAGAGGAAATATACTCATAACTTTACTCATGTAACCCCTCTGTACAGTATTTTTACAATAAAAATATGAAATTATGTCCTTATAAGCCCCCAAGTGATCAAAATTAATTCCAATGAAATTTAAATTTAAAAATGCTTAGATACTTCTAAATAGGAAATTTCTTTTTTTTTAACAAATATAAATTCTGTAATAACGTTTGGAATTGTTCATTTAAAAAGACATGCCCAACCATGTTTTCACTAAGTACCAAAATGGCAGATGAATTGCAAAAAAAGTCTGTGTTAAATAGGAAATTTCTAAGAGCATAAATCCATATATTTTCCAGTGATTCTCAATGGTTATTATTTTGGAGGCCTCATTAATAAATACAAAATACATTAATTCAGCTTCTTATACACATTTAAATTGGGGGGGATAATCTAAATTTACATACATTTTACACTTGTCAATATCTCATTAATTTATTTTTGAGTGTGGTTAGACAAAATTGACATCAAAAATAAATAGCAGACTGACTATTGGGAAAACACAGACAAACTTAAACAATTTTCTAAACAGAAACAGGTCTGTTACAAAATAGAGAAGAAAGTGTAATTATCAAAGGAAGAAGCAGAGCAAAGTTAATTTCCTTAGGGACTAATTAGGAGAAACTTTTGGTATCAGTGATCATTGCAATTGAAATTTTAATAAGATCCCAGAAAGAAAATAAGTTTCTTAATTGTATTGCCAAGGTGATGTGCACAGGACTTACAGTTACATAAGTAAGGTAACAAGTATATTTCATGTTGAACTTGTTATCCTCTCCCTCATTTTCTCCTACTTTCCCTCTCCCATCCCTCCAAGTTTTTTTTTATATCATTTTGAAAATATTATCTTGTGAATATCACTGTTGCATTAGTTGTTTCTTAATTTTTAAAAGAAGTTTCTTGATTTTGGGCTAAAACTTTATTTTCAAATTAACACAGCTTCTTAAAGGCTTAGACATGATACTGGATCTTTCAGTGGAGCCAGTTAAAGCACTTGCAGGTAGTTGCACAGCCAAATAAATTAATGCAATACAAACATATTAAATAAATTAAGCAACAGAATGACTAAATTGTTCCTTTCTAGTTTACAAAGTAGGCAGTGGTATGTTTCTGTGCATGAAAGATTTGGGTTTAGCAACCTGTCTCTCCTTGTGGGTTCTAATTAAGTTAACATATAATTATGGCTGAATATATAAAGGCAAGTAAATATTTGGTGTTTGCCAGCATTACATTACCAATTAGAAGTAATTGCCAAGGTTGCAAATAGTAACAATGTATTGCCTCAAATATACTTTATTATATTAAGCAAACTATTTTAAAATTTGTTTTGCAACTTTTGTAAGTTACATATGAAAACCATGATACCAATTTGCTGTATACAATATGATGCTTTGGCATATGAATATATTATAAAATGATTGTCACATAGCCATCATCTTGCATATTTTCTTATGTGGTAAGAATATTGAAGATCCTCACAGATATGATTCCATCCCCAAAATAACTAGCAAAATGCCGGGTTAGAGGTATGACTCAAGTTATAGAACACCAGCTTAGTGAAGAAGCCAAATATTTTCACTGAATACATGGTCCTAAGTTCAACTCATGGTACAAGAAAATAAAGATTGTGAAATTTATGTAATCTCTTAATCTCAGTAAAAGTTATTTTAAAAGAGTAAAAGGGGAGGGGAGGGAGAGAGCACTGGCTTTTAGGGGACAATCTGTGGGACCATGGGGACAAGGTTGCCAAAGAAAAAGAAAGAAAATAAGGATTACAAGTTTTGCTACAGTCTTAGAGAATTATGAATATTATTTTGTGGCATAACATGTAGTATTGAGATTCGTGCTTTTGTAAGTTTTCTGCTATCAATTTGCAGAGTTTGTTTCCATTGAAAAACTCCTTTTAGCAACTCGTATAGCACAGGCTTGGTGGTGATGATCTCTCCTGACTTTTGTTTAGGGAGGTTTTCTCCTTCCACATTTCTGAGAGACAACATTACTGGATGAAAGACTTT